GCTTAGGAAAAGGGACTGGAGTCTGGGAGGCTGACCAGCTCAGGGTTAAAGGGAAGGGATGGAGCTGGAGTGAGCTGGCCTCATCCTCCTCCTTGGGCCTTCCAGCCTGGGCTCAGCTGATTCAAGGCAGCAAACACCTCCTTTTCCCGACCAGGGAGTTCTCGCCACGTTTTGGAATCGGTACCATTCCCTTGGGGGCTGGGGGGAAGCTCCCACCTCCAGACCTGGCTGGAACTGCTGCCTCAATTCTGGATCCAAAAGAACCTCTGGCAGCTTCTCCATCTCCCTCCCAGTCCAGCCTCACCTCCTCCCCCCCCAATAGTAAATCTGACTACTAGAGGAACAAGGCAGGAAGGGCAGGGTGTGAGGGAGTGACCACCTCGGAAGGCAGCTCGGCCACCTTCTCTCCAGGACCCTCAGGCTTGCTTTCATATCGCTCCCTCGACATCCTTTTGCTATCATCTGGCATCTAGACAGACAGATGGTCTTTAAAAACAACAACACTGTTGACGTGGAGCAGACGTCCCCTTTGGGATGGTTTGGAGAGGTTAGGGTTGAGGGCATCCTCTCTTCGGCAGACTGCGGCAGTAGTAGGGGAGATATATAAAGTATATAAAGGCCAGGCGTGGTGGTCACGCCTGTAATCCCAGTACTTTGGGAAGCCAGGGAAGGAGGATCACTTGAGGCCAGGAGAACAGCCTGGCCAATATTGCAACATCCCGTCTCTACTAAAAATGTAAAAATTAGCTGGGCATAGTGGTGCACACCTGTAGTCCCAGCTACTCAGGAGGCTGAGGCAGGAGAATCACTCGCACCCGGCAGCTGGAGGTTGCAGTGAACCGAGATCCCGCCACCGCATTCCAGCCTGGGTGACAGAGTGAGACTCCATCTCAAAAAACAAAAATAAAAAATAAAGTAAATAAAAAAGACATGCCCAGGCTGAAAAATAAGTTACTCATTATCTCCATGAATGAAAAGCAGAAAAGAAATGCAAAGTGGTTGAAGACTGAAGAGCCTGGACCCTGCTGGGCTTTGGAAACCAAAGATGGTGGCAGGTCCTTTGGGATAAAGGGACCAAATGACTCCTAGCTGGAAGCTGGGAGCTTGGGTGGACCCCAGTACTTGAAAGGCTGCTGGCCGGGCGCGGCGGCTCATGCCTGTAATCCCAGCACTTTGGGAGGCTGAGGAAAGTAACTCATGTCAGTGTGAAAGCAAATCAGACAGGACAGGGCAACATGGAGGGGAGGAGAGCCGAACCAGAGCCTGGTTCCAGACCCATGCCACCTGCCCCGTTGAGCCAGGCGCACAACTGGCTCTCTGAACAACATCAAGGGTGAAGGAAGACATGCTTTCAGCTCC